CCGAAACCCCTCCCTTCACTCCCTCCAGGCCCAGATCTGGTACCATGTCCATGATGTAGCCTTTCCTGATGTTCCCAATGGGAGCCCTCCCTTTTAAGGTGAATTTGTTGGCTTTCTCCTATGCATTTAATAATTTTATTCCTGACATATGTATGTCTCCTCATACTTATTACAATGGAAGTTCCTTGAAGGCAGAGAGAGGGCTGAGCATGAGGCCCTGAACGTGAGGGACTGTCTGATGTTGGCAGGTGCCAGGTGGACGTTGTGGCAAGATTGGGGTAGAATCTGGGTATCTGGAAGTCGAGGCAGGGGCTGTGGTAGGCGGAGTCGTGGTGAACTGGGATGGGCTGGGTATGGAGAAGCCCTGAGGCAGTGGGCAGTGCTATGTGAGATAAGCTGGGTGCAAGGAAGTAGCCGGAGCTTGTGCTCCTGAGGCAAGGGGCGGTGCCACGTGGGAGTGGGACCGCAGAGGACGAGTTCCCTTTGCTTAGTCCCCTCCCTATATGCAACGACAACCCCAGAGGCCTCCTTCCTGTGACCTTCCTGATTTCCTAGGTCACGTACTCTGTCTATGCACTAATCCCAGATGCCTCCTTCCCGTATCCGGTCCTAGCCTCCTGCGTCACTCCCTCTCCCTTGGTGCGCTAAACTCAGACAGCCCCTTCTGGTATCTGACCCTACGATCATTGGCTAGTAGGCGGGCTGAGGAGGAGGGGCTAAGTAGGTATTTAGGAATGGTCGCGGGGGGAGCGCAGGCTCTCTTTGCTCCTGCTCTGTTGCTATGGCCTTCCTGCTTGGCCTTGCTGTGATGGCCTCTGAATAAAGCTCGGGTGTTGGCAGCCTCCTGATGGGTCGTCTCTGTGTGTGTATCCGGCTAGGCACCGAAGACTGGTAGGTGAGTATGACTCTGGCAGCCTGCTCCTTACAGGAGGAGAGTGTTTGGCGTGGCTGGCACAAGGTCAGCGTGGCCGGTACACCTGAACATATTTTAAGGATACGTGAAAGGGTACTGGCTTTACCAATGAAGACTTCATGCCTGTCTCTATGATTAAGAGGAAAAAAAAGATAGGCCATCCACTGCTGGGCCCCCTTCTGGTGATGAGACTCTCCATATTTCACTGGGCTAGTTCTTACTTGGATGGCAGACATCCAGTCCACTGCTAGGCCCATATGCAAAGTCCTCTGGCAGGGCCTACCAGAGCCTGCGCTCTGCCAACAGTGCTTTTGGGAACCAAGAATCACTACCAGCCAAAGGGAAGCATTGGTGGGGGAATGGGAGGCCTCACGGGAAGTTAAAATAGGAAAAATACTTGGAGTAGTATTATAAGTGATTGTGAATGCAATGAGTTTTGAAAAGGGAGATCCTGCTTAAGGTGGCCAGCAGAGGATTGCTGCAGGTAGAGGGAAGGATCAGAGTTAGGCTCTCAAGGACAGTCACACCAGGCAGGCTCATGTAGCTGAGTCAAGTCTTTCAGGAAGGGAAATGGCCCATTTCAAATGACAAGGAATCATCTGTAAGGGAGCCCCTTAGGAACTGGCAGAGACAGAAACTTCCCTCCTGATGTTCAAGTAGTATCTAATTCATCCCTTGGTAGTCAGCCTTCTGATGAAGAACCTTTCAGTCAGGCTGGTCCTTAGATAACCATAAGAAAGAGCTAAGAGAGACTTCCACAGAGGCCCAGAGAGGTTAAGTAATTTGCCTGTGGTCACAAAGTAGGAAGTAGCAGAGAACGAATGATTCAAACTCAGGTTGAATCAACTGCCTTCAAAATGAGTGCTCTATTCATGATACACTATGCCACAACACACAGTCCACCCCTAGGCCCATATCTGCATATGGTAGGCCCTTAATCTGGTTTTTTTTTTTTAATTGACTGGAACTAAGTGCAACAAAGAGTTCTGGGGGAGAGCTCAGTTAGGGTGCTCAGGGGAGGATGCCTGGAGGTGGGGGTTCAGAGCTAGGCTTTGAAGGACACCAGGTCCACCTAACTGAGTTAAAAGCTTCCAGAGAGCTGCCACAAAGCCTCCACCCCAAGAGAGACAAACATATCCTCTGAATGAGAGCGAAGCAAAAAGTCAGCCCCATCTCTAGAGGCAGAGTCCACTGCCTCGACTTGCAGAAGGTGCTTCATACCTTGATGTGCATCCTGGCTCTTTTCAAAAGGCTGAGGGTCGTGTGGCGGGTGCTGTCCGGCCCCAGGGGCACAAGCTGCTTGAGCTGTTCCAAATACAACCGCAGTTTGGCTCGTCTGAAACAAACAGACAGAGAGGAAGAATACATCAGTTCAGACCACGTTGGCCAGCACACTGTTCCTGAGAACAAACCAATTCATCTGCTTCCGCTGCAGCTACTGCCCTCTGCCCTCGGATGGCTCCAGCCCCACCTTGCCACCACGTTAGCCTGCCCCAGGCTAGCAGGTGATGAAAACCTCCAAGATCCCAGAACTGAGGGACCATTAGAGGTCCTGGAGTCAGAAGACCTCAGCTGGTGACTGGTTCTGATTACTTACTGAATGAAAGGAGTCAGGATTTCTCTAAGTTTCATTTTGTTCATCCATAAACTAAGCAAGCTATCTGCACCATCTGCTAGCACAGTGCCTGGGCCTTAAAGCATTCTGGGCAGGGATAGCATTGTGGATTTTTATGTCTTCTGCTCATAGCAGGAAGCCCCTCTGGAGCCTCCCTGAGAAGCAAAGGGGACATGGCCATCCCTTGCTGGATTGGAACTAGGATCGGGTTTGACTGGATGACCATTCAGTTCCCTTTCAAATCCAAAAGCCTATTTCAGAGTTCCAGCTCCTGCATATACTAACCACTGGATTCTGGACAAGTCATTACCCCTTTTTAGGTCTTGGTTTCTATCTGTAAAATGGGACTAATGCTTGCACTCCTAATCTCATAAGGCTATTGTGAGGCATGAGCTCTGTAAACAGGAAAACACAACATAAGGATGTACACTTATGATTTGTGGTTGTCTGGTTTTCACCTGAAGACATCCAGGGACAGGGAACTCATTACCTCCCTAAGACAGTCCCCACCATTGTTTTCTCCTTGTATAGTTCAGACTAGAATCATGGCATTTCAAGCTAAAAGGCGCCTAGAGATTATCTAATACAGGCTTCTTCTTATTTTATAGATGAGAAAATCAAGGCACAGAGATGAAGAGAATGCCCAAAGTCAAATGACTCGCAAGCTGAGATCTGAACTCAAGCCTCTGATTCCCAGAGGGCATCAAGCCATTTTCTTGAAAATCATGAATAGAGAGCTTATGATGAAGGAAACGCTGAAGATACAAAGAGAAAACACCTCACTCCAGCCAGCCACCAAGGTGACCTTTTGCCCTTGTTACTGAAATCTCCTTTGGGAAACAACCTTCCCAAACTTCCACCAGGCGATTTCAGTGGCAGCCAAGCAGAGTGGACCACTTAGGACCACCCCACCACCGTCCCCCACTTCCCCAGGCAGAAAGTTGTTAGAAATAGCTTTCTTTTTAAAAATACTTTCATTTCTCTTAAACACACATTTGAAACGCATTTTCTGAATCCCACTGGACAAGGAAAACTTAGCCAGATCTATTCTTTCCCCCTTAGTACAGGGGAGGGTGGAGACCGTCTCCCAAATATTTCCTCTAGTCTGACAAGACCCCCTGGAGAACAGTTCCAGAGTCCCTAGGAGCCTTATGGGCTGACATCTGTTGCCGGTTACATAAACGGTTATATAAGCCTTGTTTGGCTAGATCCTGCCCCACCTCCAAAGGCTACAAGATCAATTCCCATCCTCAGAATCTGTAGGATTTAGAGCCAGAAGAGAGTTCAGAGAGCAGCTACTCCCACCCCCTCATTTTATAGAGTGGGAAACGAAGGGCAGAGAAAGTTGACCAAGGTTTCATAGTAAGTTGCAGTAAGGATTCAAATCTAAGTCTTCTGACTCAACTCTTTCCACTACACCATGCCTCCTCTAGAAAAGTTAAATGCTAATGGGATTCATTGGTCCAATGAGACCAAGACAACCACCACCACCTATGAAATGCTTTCTGTGTAGAGAAAACACAGAAAACCACCACTAATCCTCAGCTCTCCTATAGGTGCAGTCAGGTAGTGGCTTAGGCAAGATTTCCACACCTCCTTTCCCCAATCCTCCACGTAGGCCATCAGTGGCAACCACCATGTGTCCCACCCACCCCCCAAACACATACTGCATCTGCGGCTTATCCTATTGGTTAAGCATGAGCAGAGAGCAACAATGGTGACACCGCAAACCTCTCGTCAGGCCTGGAGATGGAGAATGAAAGGTTCCCCAGGGGATCCAAGGCCCAGAGAGACAGAAAATAACAAGGAGGGAAGAAGCCAATATGGAAGAAAGAGAGCGAGGCAACCCTGGCCCACGAAGGCCGATTCCTGGCCTCTGTCCTT